CATGCCTAAAAATGGTCATAATGAAACCATATCATGACCATATATAGGCACAACATGACTATATATGGGCATACAACAGTTTTTCGTCAAATAAAAATTTGATATTGTAGGCAGAGCTGAAGCCTCTATCGATGATTACTAATTATTACCATTGTTCTCATATGCATTGTGATGTTTCAATTAGTTGGAAGTTAAGTATGGTTTATCACGGGGATAATAACATAAACGAATCAATTTGTAAATTGCAGTTTAAAGGTCATTGGCCTAATAAACAGACGCATTATCGTGTTTATAGTACATTTTAGGGATAATTACCAGCATGTAAATGTAGGTAAAATTTGAATGTGAAGGATAATCAATTAAAACATAAGGATTAAAGAAAATATCAAGGAGATTCAACCTTTACATAATAGGGTTTTCTTAATACTGATGTATTACTTACAGTACATTATAGCAATTGATAACCTACATATTATCTACATGTGACTTCGCCTACAATTTTGTGATTCTTGTTTTGATTGCTAATTTGTTGTATAAGTCAGTGGTGACGTCATCACTTTTATTTGCACTGAATTTTCCTATGTCCGACTGAAAAACTCAAAGCTGGAGTGATTTTACTACAGTAGAAGGCAATGGAATATTTCATTGCTAGGCCAAGCTATGAATGCACACAGCAAACCTAGTCCCTCTCTGTGGTCGCTGCTTAACACAAATGAAGCCTAGACCGTTCTAGGCAAGTCGTAGAAAGGCATAATAGCTGAGATAAGTTTGGTTAAAGGGTGATGGACATCACAACTGACTTATAAAGGAATTATTGTCAAGTAATTTCGTACACTACTATAGTAAATAGAAGCCTTAGAAACCAGTATTTCCTTCAATTTTTCAGGAAATATTTGCTCCTTCGGCTTCTATCTCCTATAGTGTACTCAAAACCTGACTGTAATTGCTTATTATGTCCTTTAATTTGAGAGCAATAATTGTTAAACAAACCAAGAAATATTGATAATCAATTAACAGAAAGTGGAATTTGGCCTTCATAACATCACTAATAATCTTCAGAAGCAAACAAATGGGAGCGTTGATCAGATTTCCTCACCCTCTCAAAATTGTTAAAATTTGCATTTTCAGAACCTTCGTAGAACTATCATACTGTATGTAGGCCTAAAGTAAAATGATTCCCTCTGCATGCGAAAATGTGGCTCGAGTACAGTAACATCATTTGTGTACGATTTATATTTTTCATTTCCTAAACACCAAAAGATTTGCCAGCATTCTTATAACACGACTGTTACGTTATAATGAGACACAGGCTAATCTTCAATATTCATAAGACCTACAGTAAACAACGGCCAAACCGTAAACCTGTTACATGTAGCTTATCAGAAACAAAGAAGTTCATCAACCGTTGTTTTACTCATTGAATGCATGACTGAGGATTTAGCTCATGCTTATTAGTTATTATTCATTAGCTCATAACAAACGATTCGCTCGAGAACCACTTTTGGGTCACTTGCGTGCGAATGTAGAAAGAGTTATGAGCAGTACTGTATTCTTTTCTTTAATCTGAAGTTCACATATTCCAGACTAGGCACAGAGGCTGTAACAGAAAATATATTGTGTAGAAGGATTAATATAGGTTCCAAAAATGATGTTCTCAACCTATCTACATTTTAAATGTATTGGAAGTATTGGAAGTATTGTACATTGCTGAACAACGGCAACACGCCCTTTGCGCAGCCATGCTCGGCCCTACATTGCTTGATGGTCTTTGCTTCGTCTGTGCAATTAATGGAAGGAGGATTAATATAGGCTCCAAAAATTACTCATTTTTAACCTTTAAAAGATACCATATTTATTATTATAACGTCCCGGGACAGTTTTTGAGGGGGTGTTTATTCGAGGGAGGCATTTACTTTTTTTTGTGTAAAATGGATACGTATATACTCAAATAAATGTCTCTTAATTTCACTTAAGTGTGGAACTACAACACATAATTACCGTCAAAATGTATTATTGCGTGATCATACGGACTTACTGATCCCAACTGTTCCCTGCTGATCCCAACCAGGTTAGAAAAAATGTAATTCTACAGTAGTAAAACATTAACATGTTTTGGGAATGATGTAGCTTCCATTAGATTTGTTTGTAACAGTCATTTATGGGGGAATTTATTCAAGGAAAAAATAAACAACCGAGGGAGGCGTTTATTCCAAATGAGGCTCGAGGGGAACTTAAGGGGATTGAGAGGGGCCTTTATTCAAATAAATACGGTAACTAAATTTGAAATGTTTTGAAAGTACTGTATGTTGCACCAGCGATGGCAAACAATTGTTAAAAAGCCATACTTCACCCTACATTTATTGAGCATAGCTTTTTCTGCATCAGATTGATGGTATTAGGATTAATATAGGCTGCAAAAATTATGTTTTCAACCTATGAAAGCTTTAAAACATTTGGAGGGCTTAGAAAGTACATTGCAGATGCTAAACAGTCGCAACAAACTCCCTTACGCAACCATGGCGCACCTGCCCTACTTTACTTAATAAGCTTCGCTTCGGCTTCACCAAAGCAATAGAACAGATTATGTCCTACAATCACTAGTGAATGGTATACAAAAAAATCAAATTTAAAACATTTTTATTTAAGAGTGCTTTTAGCTAGGAAGCTTTAAAACGACAGCTTTTAGACAGTAAAGCTCATAATAGATACATGATCTTGTTTTTGGAATTAAGTAATTTGTTCTTGCTGCTCTGCTACAGTGAATGGATTTTTTTTTTTTTTTCTTTTTATGATATTGTTGTTTATTATTACCACTTTTGTAATGTTGGTTCTAGTTGATACAATTTTGTTTTAATATTGATGGTTTATGTTTTGGATAATTATTCCAGAAATTTTGTTCGTGTTTTAATTACCGGTGTATATATGACAATAAATTTGTTTGATATTTATATTAATTTTATAAAGTTCAAATTGATTAATTATATTCTTTATCATTAAATCCTCGTTATAGGATGTTAATATTATAATCGTGATGTGCCTGTGAACGATGTATATATTTGGAATATGGGTGCAGCATAATTATTTATATATGTAGACACATTTGGAAACCTGTGGCCGGAGGTGGTTCATGCAGTAAATATGAATCTTGATACCTTTGTCTAGAAAGACTTTAGAATGGAGATAAAGGTAGAGAAAATGGGCATGGACCGTGACTACCTAGCCACCTTAAATAGGTGCTTATAGTGCTGCAGCTACTTGTTTACATCAACTGGGGTTAAAAGGAACCGTAGCATCCGGGTAACTCGCTACTCTTCCGAAAGATGCACTGGGTTTTTAAAGTGCACATGACCTAGATGTGTACACTAGTCCTCCATTTTCAGTCCTTATCCGAGAAGGCTTGATTCTAATAACCGAACCCTAGACGAGGAACGACTTGAACTAGCGCCGATGTTAGGGATGTAGTTAGCAGCGTCCCTGCCTTCCTGCTTGGCCACTCGATTTTCCAAAATTCGAGTGGAGATGTTTTGTCATGGTCACAGAAAATAAATCAGGGAAGTTCTTAAACTCAGAACCTTGAGTTTCAGACATCGATAATGTTGGCCAACGTATGATTTTCTCTATTGAAAATTGATACCTCTTGTAATCCTTCAAATTGAGCTATTTAGTATTCCGATTGACATTTTAGGGGACAATAATGTCTTAACCACTAATCCACTACAATAATATAATCACACTATAGTTGCCTTGGTTTTCTGTGTTAAAGTTTAGAGTAGAGTACCTGATGTTAATAGGAATTTTGTGGTTGCAAGGTAGTCGTCATATCCTGTATACTGTATATAAAATAATACTTTCTTCAAGGACGATTTGTTATTTTACTCTTAGAGCCTCCATGTGTTAAATTTAAAGGATTTTTCTATTAGGCCAAATAAAAAAAAGAATAGTTTCTCATCCCCTTGCTCATCCATTTTCTCTGCCTCACTAAATTTTTATTTTTGTCTTTATATCCTTTATTTTACGAAATGTACGAAAATTTGGCTAACTCATATCAGTAAAATTCCCCTCTCGATCGTTCGTGGTTGGCAGGGCTGGAAAAAGTGCGCGACCGGCGGTCGGAGGCATCGCCGATCTAACTGGGGGCATTTTTAAAAATGAAAAAAACAAATAAATCAAAAAAAAAAATAATCGTGGGAAAAAATTGTGGGAAAATAAAAGTCACAGAAAAATGTTCCCACGGCTCACCTTACTATTCAACTAAAAGTGTATCTGTATACAACGTAGTGTGCTGGTTTTGAATAGTCTCTGAATTAAAGCAGTTTCTCATAAGTAAAAACAGTCTATAGCCTTTTATTACCTTGTCATTCAGTTGTTTTTACTACTGTACTGCTATTTTTGTACTCCACAAATATTTGCATCACAACACTAAGCAGGTGTTTACAGCAGAGTAGTGGCGCGTGCCGTGCACGAGCTGCACTATCAATGCGTACACTCTTCATCAGATCGTGGGAACTGGTTGTGAACGAACATCTTGCCAAACTCACGTTCACGTTCAACCTACCCTTTAATCATAGTGATAGTCTCCAGACATCATAGTAATGCATAGATAGCCTTACAGTCACTAAAAAAAAAATACTACTCAAGTCGATAGCATTCTGCTGGACAAATCGTTGCTACCATTCATGTATGTATAAACTGACCATCAAACACGAAAATATGACTACAGTACACTTCATTACGTACACTTTTAACTTTATTGATTGACTATGTATAACAAAGTAATACATGCACTCTTATGCAATGAAATGAACGCAAAACCAGCCCTATCATGAGTTCAACGTTCGTAACAGTTCACGCCGCCTTTGTGTTAAACCGCAGCACAGTGATAAAACGTTCCGACAATCGGAGCATGAAAAAAAACTGGGCCTGTTGCCAAGGATACTTTACTTCAGAATCCTGGCTATGTTTGTGTTCTCTGACTTCCTTCTAGAGTACAAACTACAATCTGCTCTTCATAAAACGTTTAAAAAAAAACGTCAGGAGATTCGTAATGCTAACCAACATTGATTTTAAGTACTGATTGTAGTGTAGTATTAGCTGCCTGTATTTGTTCTACCTCTTCTGCCAGGGCTTTTGGATGCCCATGCTAGGTAGGTGAATGTGATATTTATCTTAAAATACATTGAATATATAAAGCATTATGCCCATACTAGGTAGGTGAAGGTGATTTTTATCTTAAAATACCTTGATATAAAGCATTTTATTACTTATTGTTATGATATACCACTTGTTTTAATCATAATCTTTCACTCACTTTCAAATTGCCTGGGTGGATGTCGAGGATGGGGGGGGGGGTCGAGGTCCAGCAGGAGAGTATCGGGCTTTCGGGCTGGGGTACAGGGACTTCAGGGGTTGGGGAGCTAGGATAGTAGTGGAGGCAAAAATTGTGATTATTTTCATGGTCGGAGGCACCAAAAAAAGTTTTCCAGCCCTGATGGTTGGGATACATAGTGCTTCTTTTATTGGCTTTCATTGCATCTACTTGGTAAAGTGAGAAAGTAGTTACCTGTTTCCCATCGACCATCTTGGATTTGCCATCTTGGAGCAAAAAAAAGAAAAAGTGCCCTCAATCTTCCTTTTTATTCAAAATATTAGGACAAGAATGTAGTAGTTATGAGCAATGCCATAGCCAGGATTTTACGCGTAAATTTAAATAATGTGGACCCATTTTCTTAAAAATTTTTGCAAAATTATGAGAAATCTAGACACATTTTCTTGAAAATTGACCCATTTTACACAACAGGAGAAATCTGGACCCAATTTTTCTTTGTGGACCCAATAGCAAAAATTGTGTGGGACTGTCCCAACTGTCCCAATAGCTGGCTACGGCATTGGTTATGAGTGAGGTAAATTCAACAAGGAATGTATGGAAGTTATGACCAGGTTCTGGGAGCTTGCAAAAATACAAAAAAAATAAAAAATAAAGTAAAGAACTCTATTATTCCTAGCTCTGTAACTCAGAAATTTGGTCCAAACTCCGGGGAGCTCCACCCCTGTTAGTAGATTGGGCAAACTTCAAATAATGTTATAATGATCCGCCAATATTACAGCTGTCATAAATGTGTACTTCGGTCATTGAATATATTCAGTTGTCACTCCATCTACATGGATATCATTTCTTGCACTAAAACACCGCCAGAAAGCATTATCAACTTATTATTTCAGCTTATAACAGCACAAGTTTGTAAGAGCTTCTATGCTCGGGGGTAATGCAAAGGTATACTGTATATTCAGTGGAGGGAAGCTTCATGTATCCTGAGTAACTGACAATTTTGGGCTATTTTAAGCTCTTCTGAGAATGTATGTATATTGGAATGTATTAACCCAAAGATTTTATCCCAACTAGGGGCTTAATTACTGCCCCCTTTTCCTGCTAAATCGGCCACTACTTAAGCCTCTCACAACATTGTAAGTCCACATAAAGGTTCTTTATATTTCACTTGTATTAGTATTAAATTGCACTTGCTTCTTCTCTACCACCAATAAGTGCAATAACTTTTAATTTCTTTGCACCTTTAGCATCAACTTACACTCGCTTCTTCGCTGTTTCACTTGTAGTATCAGGGGCAGATCCAGGATTAGAAAGAGGGGGTTCTAAATGTTTCCAAAATACCCCAAAACAAAAGGGGGTTTTCGGGGTCCTCCCCCTGGAAAATTTTGATTCCTAAATGGCTGGAAATGACCTTTTCCGACTTCTGAGGAGTCTTTTAATGACCTTTAAGTTCTTCAAAATGCAAGGTTTTCCCCTCTCGAAAAAGGTCAAGTTTATTTTATCTCATTCTTCAGGCCTATACATAGAGAAAAAAAAATCTAAGAAAAGGGAAATCCAACAATATTGAGTAGTTGGCTACGTAGTCTTCTTCCATGGATCAATGAACTGATAGGCCTGTGCACTTTCGTACATAAATTATTACGTGGAATCAGAAACAGTGTGTATAATCTTATTTAATTGAAGGCTAGTTTGTCTGATCTGCCAACCTATGCCTAGGTAGGTTAGCATGCCTTTTGTAAGCCAGGACCCAATAATATTTTGTTACGTTTCTTCACAGAGGGGGTTCGTCCGAACCCCCTGAATTCCCCAGGAGCCGCCACTCGGTATTACTATTAAATTTCACTTGCTTCTTCTCTATTTCACTTGAAGTATTAGTATTTTATTTCACTTGAAGTATTAGTATTTTATTTCACATGCTTCTTTTCTACCACCACTATAAAGTACAATAACTTTCTCTATTTCATTTGTAGTATTGTAATATCATGCCAAAATCCGGAAACTGCAATACCTTACTTTTCTAATTTCCTATCACTGGCCAAGATAAACAATATGTATTTTTCAGGATGCTTCTTTCCGATTCTCATAATAATTCCACATTCTACAGGAGATACAACAAGGCCAAAAAAACAAAAAAAAATTCTTGCGTATTCTATATTGAAAAGCAAAAAGGTGACATAACACTGGCACTGGCATTGCATACCACCGCAAGATAGGCCCATTCTAGCCTTTTTAGCACATTAAAAAAATATTTTTCGTTGTAGTAAAAAAAAAATTTTAATAAAAAAAAAAATGCTTACCCTTAATTTTGAACATTTTGGGTCAGTTGAGCGTGGCCAACACAATAATAATTTTTTCGTTTGGCCTAATACTGTATACAAATCATTGTTCATTGATTATAATGACTTGACGAGGTGCTAAAAATGATATATAGCACAGAAGATAAACAAGCGTAAATACCTCACACATCAAATGAAATTTTGACCTGATTCTTAAAGATTGAATGGCAAACATGAGTCAGATAGAAAGTTATTTACTGTTTGATGTAAGCTTGATATAAACTATTTTTTAGTTTACTGTCGATTGTGTTTATTCCTTAAGTATCACACCAGAGATGGAATAGATGTATTTCACTCTGCAGAGCATCGATCACTACACATTGCCTGTAACTATCTTATTAGTTGTCTGAAAAAAGTGTCTCTGGTGGAATCCGAAACCTGCAATCTCTCATTTTCAAGACGAGTGTCATACCCATTATCATAACCTGTCTAATGGATATGATACTTGAGCACTGATATTATTATTTATACTTAGCTACAAGTTGCCAGAAATTTAATTGGCCTATCAACAAAGCATGGGCGGTACTAAAACTTAATGCGAAATAAACAAAACTAGTAAATAAGAATTAACTAGAGAGCTGAGTTGTTATCTAAAGTAAGAAAGCTTACTAGCAAAGACAATG